GGGAGGGAGGAAGGAAGGAAGGAAGGAAGGAAGGAAGGAAGGAAGGAAGGAAGGAAGGGGGAAGAGGAGGGGAGGGAAGGGAAAGGAAAGGAAAGGGCGGGCCAGAGGCGGGGCGGAATGCCCTGGGTCGGTGCAGAAGGTGCACAGCGAGGGCGGAGGGGAGAGTGCGGTCCATCTGCCCGGGGCTGGCGACCGCGGCTGACAGGGCTGACAGGGCCTGGACGTCACCGGCTCCCCCAGGACGGCTCCTCCCAGAGGGAGCTGGAGGCCCGGGCGCCGCCCGCAGGGGATCGGTCTCCTCACAGAGGCGGGGCGGAATGCCCTGGGTCGGTGCAGAAGGTGCACAGCGAGGGCGGAGGGGAGAGTGCGGTCCATCTGCCCGGGGCTGGCGACCGCGGCTGACAGGGCTGACAGGGCCTGGACGTCACCGGCTCCCCCAGGACGGCTCCTCCCAGAGGGAGCTGGAGGCCCGGGCGCCGCCCGCAGGGGATCGGTCTCCTCAGGCCAGGCCGTGGGCTCGACGCCTCGCGCTGAGGGTCCGCGGAGGAGCTGGGTGCAGCGCGCGGGGTCCATCGGTGGCCACGGTCCCCATGACCCAGCCCTCCCACCTTCCGCAGCCCTCCCGGCCTAGCTGGCCACGCCCTACTTTGAGCGTGGAGTCTGAGGAGGGGTGGCAGCGAGCAGCGAATGCCCCGCGCGCGCCGAGGCTCTGAGACTCAGGTCGCCCCTGCTGTGGGGTGTCGGTGACCAGAGGGGGCGGGGCGTGTGGCGAGGGGCGGCGCTGAGGACTGGGTTGTGTGGAGAGAATGCGTTGCGTGAGGCACTGGGGGCGGGGCTATGTAGTGGGCGGGGATTAAGGGCGGGGCGTGTTGTGGAAGCGTTCGGTGGCAAGAGAGGAGAGGTTGAGAGGGCGCGCGGGGGCCGGGCTCGAGCCTGAGGTGTGAGGAGAGGGAGGAGAGAGAACGGCAAGAATAGGAGGAGCAGGGGAATGGTTGGGCTGGGTATGAGGCTGGGCTGAGGGGAGAGGGGCCGCTGTTGCCACCTAGCCCACCCACTGAGCAGCAGTGCTTGCATTCTGGAAACACATTTTGATCCCAGTGCAAGGGTAGGGCAGGATCCGGTCTTGGGCACTCTCGTCTCACTGTGAAAGGAGAGATCTCCAAACACCTTTAGGATGCGTACTGTTTCCACTGACTAGCTGGAGGTCCCTTCAGAAATGATTCCAGCCCCTGACCCTCAATTTTTCTCATCTGTAAAATGGAAATGTTGATAATAAAACTGCACCATAGAGTACTGTAAAAAATAAACAAGGTGATGTATGTAAAGAGCCTACAATGATAAGATAGATATTGGATATTATGATTGCTATTATTATTTAAAAGTTCATCCACTTTGCCTCCTCCTTCCCCTTTGGGGGCAGCAAATCTTTCAGCCTGCAGTATCACAACTTTCAATAGCTAAAGGCAATTGCTGGAATCAGAAAAATTCCTGTTGGAGTGAAACAATCCAAAACTGGCTTAATTCTCTTGAGCTTCATAAGAAACATTAGTGCATGTGGAAACAACGACATCCAATCCTGCTCAGGCTCCTTCCTGGACACTTTCATTCAAATTTAGTAGCTCTCAATGACTGAGATGAAGGTCTGGAAGACCCTTAATGCTGCCTCAGGCATCATGGGCAGGTGTTTCTGTGAACGTCGCAGAAGTTATATTTAACTGTAATTCTTTAAGATAGATGCTTTTCACTCCCAACTCCTTGCCACAGTGTTGGTGGGACAAGGGATGCAACCAAAGCAGAGTAAAGCGCACATTTAATTCAGGTTTCAAGATCTATGCATATGGCCCACTGTCACCTCCGTCTGTATTTAAGCCATTGCTGCCCATCACAGTGTAGGAGTAGATTTTAGAAACACAGTCATCACCCACTAAGCTACCTTACCGTCCTTGTGAATGAGGGTACAGGGCCGTGAACTGTGCTAGTGCTCGGTATCAGGAGTGTGCACATAGGGCAGGAAACAAGATAGGAAGCATACAGAGCCAGAAGCTAGTCCATGGAAAATTCTTATTTTTATACATATTAAACTTAAACAGAAGAAGATTTAGCTCTCATCAGAACCCAGTTAAAGCAGAAACCTAAGCCTGGGGAGATGGCTCAGTAGGTAAAAGCACTTGCCATGCAAGCATGAAGAACTATGTTCAAATCCCCAGAGCCCATGTAAAAGTGGGACATGTACCCTGAGTGCCTGTAATCCCAGTGTCCTACAGGGAGATGGGAGGTGGACACAGGAAAATCCCCAGAAGTTCACAAGCCAGCCAGCCTGGCATATGCAGTGGAAAAACAACGGAGACAGTCTCAAAGGTGGAAGTTGAGGATAGACACCCGAGATTGTCATCTGATACATCTGACACACATACCATGATAAATGCATGCCTGCACTTGTATGCATGAATGTGCATGCATACACACACATTGTGCACACACATACACATCATATACACACAAAGAGGGAGCAAAGAAGGAGTGAGAGTGGGAGAGAGGGTGGGAGGGAGAGAAATCTACCTGACAATGCAGCATGTGTAACTATCATAGACGACACATTTTTCTTCCTTTCTAGTAAGAAGTGCACAAACCGGGATGGAGAAATGGCTCAGCAGTTAAGAGCATGTACTGTTTTCCAGAGGACCGGAGTTCGATTCCCAGCTCCCATATCAGGCCACTCCCAACCACCTGTAACTCCAGCTCCTGGAGGATCTGACACCTCTGGCTTCTGCAGGTACCTTCCTTACATGAACATACCCCCCCCAACACACACATGTAATTAAAAATAAATTTTAAAAAGAAATGGACAAACTAAAAGATACCAGTCTTGTGTTCACTGAGCACAGACATGTATGATTTCTGTAATCAGCTACTGCATCCATGTGGAAGATGTATGTTGTATGATCGCATTGTACTGGGTCACATCTTATGTGGGGTTCCTGCCTTAGTGGTGTCTGATGCCTGTAGAGGAGAGGTTCTGCAAAACATAATGAAGTGGTAATTCTTAAGAGTAGATACATTCCAAGTCAAAATGATTCTTTAATTATGTAATTAACTAAAATGAATGAATCATAAATGTACTGAGAAGGATTTAAGTTTTTCTCTTATTTGACATAAAATACTGACATGGATGAATAAGATAGAGAATGCATAATACACAATTATAATGGGGACATCAGAAATAAGCTGTTTAATGTGCTGTCAGCTCAAAGAATATTTCAAATTAGTCACCATGCAGTAATACTCAGAACTTGAATAGGAAAGAAGCTTAGAGATTTCTCCAGATTTACAATAATCCTGGGAATTTGCATATCATTAAATGCTACAATGCAAAGAAATGTTTAAAGTATCCATACTCGTGAAGTTAACTTTGTAGGACTGAATTATCCCTTTCAATTATTATAGAAAAATAATGTCAATATAACAAAAATAGAGAGAAAATTATATGAGCCACATCATTTAGTAAATTAATAAAAATATACTATGTGTGTCAGCCAGCTTTCTAATACTATGACAAAATACTTGAGACAATCAGTTTAAAGGGCAGATATAGCTGCATTGATTCATGGTTTCAGAAATCTCAGTCCACGGTTAGGTGGCTCTTTTGCTCTGGGCATTTGATGAGGTAGGAAATGATGATGGGGAGACCTAGAAGAGGAGTTCTGTTCACCTCATGGTGACTGGGCAGCAAGAGTGAAAGAGAAGGGTCCAAGGTCATGTAATATGTCCTTTGAGGACATTTCCCCAGTCACCTAACTTCCTTCCACTAGTGCTGAGAGCCTCTCAGGGCTCGGGGATCCTGGGAATAGGTGCAGAAGAAATCAGGACACAGGGGATGCAGTGGAGTGTGAACCAATGCATGCTTTATTCTAAGAAGCAACCTTATTTATAGTAAAACAAGAGGAAGAGAAAATATTCTTCTCAAGCCAAATTATCTCATCCTAATATTTACAGTACCTTCATAACATTTACAGTGTCTTCATGTTCCCAGGGCTCAGCCCTTTTTGGGATCTTAACTTTCTGTGCTTGTTAAACATTCTGTTCTTTACTTATAACTTTATTAGCTACACAGCTTTGTTATAAAAGCTTACTTATGTGCATTTAACAGGGTTCAAGGAACAGTCAGTCTCATGATAAGAATAACTTCAGGCCAAGAACACTCAAGTCCCCAGGGAGGAAGCGTTCTTCCTCCTTACTCTCAGTGTGCTGAGAATAACTGAGGCCTCTTGTTCCAGCTCTGAGTTAATTTCAGATCAGAGATCAGACCTTCACACACTAGGGTTTACCTCTTAAAGTTTCCACCACCTTCCAATAGTGTTATAGGTTGACAGTTGAACCTTTAGTGTATGGGCCTCTGAGAGACATTTAAAATTCAGACTCCAGAATTTATGATACTTGTGATGTTTGTTGGCTTTTGAAATTTTGTAATCTGCTGTTTCTCTCATTCTAAAGAAAAGAAAATCCCTTCGTAATCTTTTTCTGTATTTTTGAATTCATATTCATTCTCCTAAAGAGAAACCTAAATTATCTAAGCTTCAGGCTCTACAGACTTGAATTTTCTCCCACTCAAGCCTCTTTCTCTCCTCTGTGAGCTCCTTTGATACTCTCTATGGCCATGGCTTAGGAAGTCCCTGACCCCTCGTGGTATCAAAAACATGCTTGTAAAATGAATGCATGCATGACTTCAAAACTGGAAAGCTAGACTGTTTAGCTGCATGGAAACATGAATTTTGCTTTTTTATTTGTTGCTGTATTTCCCCATTCCAAAGAGTGCCTTGCACAGAGCAGGTACACAATAAAATTATTTTGTTTTCTCTGTGGTGCTTCAGATCAAACATGTGCTTTTTCCACAGCCCAGCAGTAAGTAGGTTTCTAATGAACCCATGCCTATTCCGTTGGCTTCTTCTATGACTCACAGCCATTCTAGTTATGAATCCCTTTCTCAAGATCCTTTCTACATCTCTGAGGAGTTGTATTAGTTACTTTTCTGTTGCTGTGATAAGTAACACCGTGACCAAAGCAGCTTAGAAGGAAGAGTTTATTTGGCTTATGGTTCCAGAGGGAAAAGAATCCATCACGGCAGAGGCGGCAGCTGAAAGTTCACATCTTCAGATAGGCACAGGAAGCAGAAAGAGAAATAGATACTCAAAGTGGGGCAAAGCTATGGACTCTCAAAGCCCACTCCTAGTGACACACCTCCTCCAGGAAAGCCATACTTTTTAAAGGTTCTATTACCTTCCCCAAACAGTGACACCAATTGACCAAGTATTCAGGTACTTGGAAACTATGCAGGACATTTTCATTCAAACCATGACAGGGGTGTCATTTTCATTTTGGAGTTCAGGCTAAAGTGAGGTTCAGAACTGAAGTGACTAGCCTCAGGACACTCAGTCAATGGCAGAACTGAAGCCCAAAGCCAGATCTAAACTGAGCGTGGTGGCTCGTGCTTGTAATCTCAGCACTTGGGAAGTTCAGGCAGAAGGATCACCATGAGTTTGAGGCTCCCCTGTGTACACAGTAGTTCCAGGATAACCTCAGCTACAAAGTGAGAACTTGTCTTTAGAAATAAAAAAAAACAGGAGCTGGAGAGATAGCTCTGGCTACTCTTACAGAGGACCTGGGTTCGGTTCCCAGCCACCCACATGACACTAACTGTTGGTAACTTCAGTTCCAGGGGATCT